TGTACTTAAGTACATTTTATGTCAGAAATTTACTTTGATACTTAAGTACAAAAATATCTGATACTTTAAGACTTTTACTCAAGTAATATTCTTAGAGGAGACTTTTGATTTTATAAGATACTTGTACTTTAACTCAAGTATCACTTTGAAGTACTTTATACCACACTGAATATTTAACAGTAATTTAAAAAATACAAAAGATTGAAAAGGGAATTTGACTCAAACTACGTCAGAATAATCTGACTTTGTTGGTTTGATGGATATGAAGTGTGTAGAGATAAAAAATATTTATTTTATCCTAAAACTATCAGTCCAGGAGTTTTAGTTTTTATCAGTTCCAGGTTAAAAACTTCTAATATGAGATAAGTAGCTGCAGCACAAACACCATCTTTACAGGATAAAATGTGTGCCCGAGTTTTACCACTGACTTCCCACACAGGAGTTTGTGTAAAAATGTGAAAAAGCTGTGAATCTACTGTTTACTGAAACACYGATGAGTTTTTAAMWTTAWATATATCYTATCTGCTGATGAGAAGCTTTTGCTAAAGCTGGATGAAGAAAGTCCTTATATTCAATAATGCCATCTAACCTGGGCTTGTTGGGGTCTCCGTCGTGACACAGGAAGTGCAGCGCAGCGTCTGGGCGGCGGTCTTCAAACGTGACCAGTGGGACTGCATCTTTAAGGACCCCTGATGGAGGAAAACATTCAACCTCTTCACATAAATGAACTTTATTTAGGAGTTCTCAGGAATCAAATTCAAACTCCGCCCCCCACACCTGTTCGCACCGCCTCGTCGACGATGGCTCGATTCATCTCCAGCGCCCTGCTGTCYGTCAGCAGCGTCACCTGTTTCCCTAGAGACAGCAGCATGGTCGCCATGGCGATCGCTCCAGGCGGGCCGTCCGTCTCGTCGGGGGGGCTGAGCGGCGAACGGGAAACCGGAGGAKAAGGTTGAGCCTGACCAGTGCCGATTCGAACGCGCTCGCTGTGGTTTAGTCTGTGCACGWGCACTTACTTGTGCATGTAGTGTGTGGGAAATCCGGTTGTTATGGCAACAGACGAGGAGTGGGAGAGCGCCAGGCAGGAGCGAAGGAGTTCATCCTGAACAAATAAAGCTCTGATCCCTCGTTGACCTGGTGACAGAAAGACGTAAACACTGCTGTCTTCTAAAGTCAGTTGACAGAGGCGGCCATCTTGAACTGGCTCCTAACGGTAACCTGTTGTAGGTGGTCATGTGATCATCACTAATCCTTCGTATAACAAATGAAATCCATCTTTTAAAACCTCTTGAGCCCCACGCCCCCGGTACCGGTGGCAAACCAGCCTTTTCCCTTTTCTATTTCTTTGAACTTAAGATCTGTCAGCTGAACCTGGACATGTTTGGTATCAAAAGAAACCTATGAATCTTGGCTAAAAGATTCACTAAACATAATTCAAACGACAAGCAGTTGAATCAGAAAGTAAACAAACAAAATGGTMTCATTGCAAATCTGTAAAGGAAAACTTTTTGACGTTATTTTTTTTTTTAAAGAAAGTCAACGTAGATACCTAAATAAGTTGTAAAGTGTGTTGAAAGTTTTTTTTTTACTTGATTTTGATTGAATATGATCCAATTGAAGTCAAATACAATTTCTCATATATGYTGAAAATTAAATGTTTCGATAATTTTTCAAAAGAACAAACATTCAATAACAAGTCTTTTCAGTCAGTTAAGAAAAAATAAATAACTTTTGGAAGTAAACACTTCAGATTTCTTAACATTTATTAATGGAACGAACCATCATGGTCTGTCCTGTGCAGAATGACTAAATACTAAATTATTTATTTACTAAAACCTCTGTAACTTTGCTCCAGTTCATTTTAGCAGCATGAATCTTTGCACAGGTGATATCCACAAGTGGATTTATGGTTTCCAAGAGTTTTTAGCCTGACAAGAAAACCTCTTGGGGCTTAAGAGGTTAAATTAATTCAACCAAAGTCATTAAATGAGATTAAGAAATAAAATTAAAACACAAAACATTTTAGGGCCGTGGTTGTTTAAAGTTGCATTTCCTGTAAACTCACCTGGGTCTTCACCAATTATCTCCTCTAGCTGTTGGATCTTCGCCGCCGCCGCCTTTGAGACCAGGCTGTAGAAAAGAGGATTGTGGGATARGGGGAAGCAGAGCGGGGTCAGCTCAGGGTCGGGTTTGGTGCGCAGAGAGTCAGAGGAAGGGGAGTCTGGGGTGTCGGTGAGGAACATGCAGCCTGGTGAGTGGCTGAAAGCCAGGGAAGGTTCTGGAAGACAGGAAACACGTTCAACAGGTCACAAAATAAGAGTTTATTTTCATTCTTACCTTATAATATCGTCATAGTGCTCACTGCTGCTGAGYATGGCTTCGATCGCCGTCACGCCACAGGCCCAGAACACGGGGACGTCTCTGGGCTGAAGCTCCACCGGCTCTCCGTAATCCGGTTTTGACAGATCCTGGATCCCCAGGAGAGCTGCACGGATTAAAACATGAATATATTAATCAGCCTGTGAGTTTAGATTTTCTGCGTTTGCTTCAGGCACCTGGATCTCCGATGTGTACCGGGGCTCCGTGAGCTAGRGGGTTGAGGTGAGTGACCTCCACCGCTGAGTCCAGTAAACCAGCGGGAACCGGGCGCATGGTGACCACTAGGGGGCAGCTGAATGCTCCGCTTGGGACGCAGTGAACCGCAGTCTACAAAAAATACAATAAAATAAAAACACAGTCTGTGTGGTCCTTTTAGAGCGCTTCTATTAGAATTTAACCTRGTACCCTGTACATGCTGATGTTTCTGCCTTGCTCAACGTTCCTCACYGGGATTCCAGCTTCCTTCAGTTTTCCTTCGAATCCGAAGCTGCAGCCGAGGTAGAAGCTGACCATATCGGACAGCGATCCAGTCCTGCAAACAGAGAAATACATTCACACCTTCACTCACCTGTAGGCTGGTGGTAAGTCTGCGTTTGTTAACGTACCTCTGCAGACTGGAGACTGTTTTCACCAGACGACCCCCCTCATATACACAGTACTGAGAAACATCTGTCCTGCACACACAAACAAACACACACACACACACTGCAGTTTATAATGGTGATCATTGAAAAACATGCCAAAAACAATGACACAATATTTAAAAAGTGGGTCTTTTATTTGATTTTTGTAGCATTTTACTTTAGAAWTTTTTAATTAAAAATCATCTACAGTTTTAGATTAAAGATCCAGCATGTTTGGGTGCTAGATRAGAGCACATTTATAATCCCTCCAGAGAATTCTGGGTCTGTCCCGGGGTCTCCTCCCAGGGGGACACACCTGGAAAACAAGCCATCCAGGAGGCGTCCTGAAGAGAGGAGCAGAGGCTCTACTTTAAATAAGAACTGCTTTAATGTGTTTAGTTAATACATAAAATGTTTACATGGAAACTGAAACAAAAGTAAATGTCA